ATTAGCGAAACTAAACATCGAAAGCATTGATCTAGGTAGAATAAAAAAAGTAAAAATATTAGACTCTCGATATTCCTCTGGTATGAAACCTAAAACTTTTTTTATTCTTGCATTTTAGGTTAATTTATTGAATAGTACATATCAAAATGATTGGATTGAAATTCATCGTGTAATAAATGATGAAGATGGTAATGAGAAAAATGAATTATTAACTTATTTAACAAATGGTTCAAGTAATTCAGCATGGAAACATTTATATAGTATTGAAAAAGGTTGTTTAAGAGTAACTATATATGCATCAAGTGGAAGTAAAACTAATGGTTTTATGGCAGAAGTTACACTCTTTCCTGTAACACCATTTTGTAAGGAAGAAAAAAAATATTTTCATTTCAACGAATAGAAAAACTTCATATTTTTATTGATGCTAATTTTTTTTTTGTTTTGTTTGTAGCCACACGAGAAATTGTTCATCAAATATCAGATAATGTCTTTTTGGGTAATCAACAAGGTGTGTTAAAATATACTTCTGCAGGTGAACGATCAGCTAATTTATATTTTCAATCAAATACACTTCTTTATAATGGTTATTATCGATATAATTCTTCATCATCACCAATAAATTTATTTCTTTTTCAAAATTCTCAACGTTTTTATTTTGGAAATAATTGGTTAAGTAGAAATTTAGGTGGAACATATATACAATGTTATAGTCAATCATTATCATCAATATTTAATGGTCATCTTTTTAATAATGTTTTCTATCGAAATAAGTAAATTAGGTTTTATTTTTTTCTTCGCAAAAAAAAAAAATTATTATTATTATTACTTGTTCTTTTTTTAGTAATGATTCTGTTCTTACATTTAATGGTATGGAAATGTCAGCATTTTGTAATTTATATGCAATACAAAATGCTATTATGTTCAATGATGCATATGATCGAAATATAATTAATTTCAATTCAGTTGTAGCTAATTTTAGGTATGTTTTGATATCATATATAATGCAATTAATATGAAGAGTTCAGTAGACGTAGTGTATAGAAGATAAATAATCTAAATTTTCTATGATTTTTAATGAATTATATTATAAGTTATACGAATCAAAATAATATTTGTCAGATAAATTAATAGAAACACGATTATTTAAGACTTTCTAGATTTCATGTGAATAAATGCTGAAGTAGTTTTCTCGAACAAGAGAGTCGCACAAGACTATGACGGACGACCACTGAAAAAGAAGCCACCGAGGACTAAAAAAAAAAGAGTACTTACGAGGGAAGGTCCCCAACTGATCAATCGCTTTTGCGTTGAGGCTATGTGCATTATATAGGTACAAAAGAGTTATGAATACCCTGAAAAAAGTTCGGACTGCTAGCTTATTGCTACAGAGATACTGCACTTTTACGGTATGTTTATAAATGAAAGCTGTGGTCCTCCTCAGGAACACCGAAAAAAAATTATTTTCGAATTTCGACTTGGGAACTTTACATATAAATAGATCTTACCGAGAATAGTATTTTATCAAAGTTTCAGATCTTTTTGCTGTTGTTATCGGTAGATACAACTATGATAATGTTATTCAGATAAACCAAAAGATTTGATGTTGTCATTTCAGGAT